ACAAGGCAAACTGTGGCTACCAGACCCTGAGTTCAGTGTTATGGAGGTAACTTCAGGGAGGTGCCAGCTCCATGAATACACCAAGGGCAACCATGAAGGTAAATTATCTGTCAGAAGACTCAAACACTATTAATTAAACATTGAGCTTTATCCTACAGAAACCAAAGGAGACAACTTTGTGCAACTCCAGAAGTGGAAGACTAAAATGACAACTGTGGATTATTTTGTCAAAGGGCTGCTGCCTTCTGAAACATCTGTTTGTTTGCTGCTATCAGAAGATACTAAAGGCCCCTACTTCCACTCATAGGGTTTATCACAGTTAACCCAGTGACTCACCTTGACAGAATGTCTGTGTGAAATGGGGTTGATCAGAGGATCAAAGTAAAAAGCTGGGAGGTCAGGATCTTCTGTTTTAATGAAAACAACATTTGGAGTATGATACCTGCAAAAAAATAAATACGCATTAGAACCTCTGACAGCCTTTCCCTCCTCTCCTGGCTCTGGAGGCTGCTGCTCTTACCAGGTGAGGTGGACATGGTGGGGCAGGTTGTTGTACAGGTAGGGGAAAGCAATTTTGTACTCTGTCCTGATAGGCTGCCTGATGATGATTTTGTTGATGTCATTAAATTCATTCCAGTCTTCATCCCTTAAAACAAGACAAGAAACTGTTATGCAGGCATTCAGGGTGAGAGAGACAGAAAACACCCCATCAGCCCTCTCCTAGACAACCACTCATCTCTCTCCCAAAACCAACACTTACTGAAGATTGATGTCCCTGACGAGGGGCTCAAACTTGGGACCTCCAGGAATGGCCATGTTCAGTGCCTTGGAGGTGAAGAACGCTTTCAGGTCAAACAGGTAGAAGTAGTTGTCATCCACCAGGTCAGTGAGCAGCTGGTTGGCCAGGCGGTACAGGGTGGACATCATGGGGAGGGTGAACTGCCAGCGCTGGTACGTGGAGCCGTTGACATACCTGGGAAAGCAGAGCATGGACACTCCACACACAGAATAACCAAACACCTTCTGCCACCCATCCTTCATCAAGAACAGATATCTGCGTGTCTCTAGCCTGAAAAAAAGGCTGCAGCACTATTAAAGACCACTCTAGACTCCTCCTGCCCAGAAAATGCTGGCTGCTCCAGTTCCTCTTCTCCTGTGTCTCAAGTGACACAGAACATCTGGGCACCTTTAGCAAATTCCAAATTCCAGCTACACAATGCAGGCTGTCAGCTTTACAACATGGTCAGAAACACCAGTTTTAGGAAGTAAGTGGGTAACAGGCCTCCTGGATAGAGGAGCCTTGCTGGATCCTGAACCACAGAATCCCAGAATGGATTTGGTTTTGCTTGGAAGGAACCTTAAACCTCATCTTTTTCCAAGCCTTCCACCATCCCAGGCTGCTCAGAGCCCCACCCAACCTGGCTTTGGACTTCTCTGAGCAACCTGCAGGCAAAAGATGCAGCTTTCCAACACTCAGCTTTTCCCTCCCACCCCAAAGGGAAGGTTTTTCTCTCCTCACCAACATCACACAAAGGTTACACACTGCTCTGTGCACGTCATTCATGCACTGTTTGTTTTTTGGTTTTCTCCCCCTCCACAGCCACTTACTTCCTGTTGTCCTTCAGAGGCTGGTGGTCATAGAACCAGTCCAGCACAGGGGCATCCTCCTCTGGATCCAGCTCCAGCTGAATGGCTTCCAGGGGCTCCACATCCAGGATGTTATCAGCATAATCCAGAGGGGGTTCTTCATCGTCAAACGGGGGGAATCTCATCCTCTTGAAGTGGCGCCTGTCCCTCTTCTCCCGCCTCATCATAATCCACATGGAGCTGCAGGAAATCAGGGGTAGGTTAAAAGCAGGGGGATTTTATGGTGGGTGCAAAAAGGTGAAAGAAGCAGAAGGCACCTACCCCCACTGGGCAATGTAGACAGGCTCGATGACCCAGGGGATCTCGTTGACAAAGGAGATGGCGCCCGTGATGTGGTACAGGACGGGAACGTCCCGGATCTGCTCCCAGGGCATGGGCATGTTCTCCAGGAGCTTCAGTACAGCATGGGGCATGTACTTCAGAGCACTGCAACCACAAACCAGGGAAAACCACGCTGGAGTAGCTCTCAAGGACAGCCAACCACCTGCCACGAGCCCAACAACCTCCCAGTTTTCCCTAGGAACTGCTCATCTGACCTGTTCAAAAAGCAAATCCATGGATCTCCCACTCTACCTTTGGATTATCAAAAGGTTTTTTAGTGATTTGGCTTTCAAGAATGTTGCTAACAGAAACTGAAGTTTTTAAGTTAGTTCATAGAGTTTTTTAGGTAATTGTAACTTATTGCAGCAGACCATGATGCGCACTAGACAGCTCTCTACCCCCAAACAGCACTCAGGATGCTTTTTAATCTTTAAAAAAACATTCCACACTCTCCCCAACTCCTTCTAAGACACTCAGTTATGCAGGGTCATGTTTTTTCTCATAAATTCAGAGCAACAATTCCCTTTGCTGACGCTCCTTTGCACTGATACCTCACAACAACACATTGAGCTACAACTGAAAAGCTGAAAAGCCTTTTGGACAAGGGGCTTCCCCTTCAATGATGCATTATCCAGACTAACGTTTTTTCTCATAAACTCAAGGCAACAACTCCTTTTGCTGATCCTCCTCTGCACTGACACCTCAGGGCATCCCCACTGAGTTACAATGTTCACAAAAAGCCTTTTGGAGAAGGATCTCCCCCTCCAGGGCAGCAGCAGATCCCCCTGTGCCCCACACCGGGGGTCCCTTACCCCAGGTAGACTCGCTTGTCGTGACGGAACTTCCTATTGGTCATGTCGCCGTGGTCGCGGATGATTTTGCGGACATGCTCGGGGGGCATGTCCTCCTTCTGCGCGTCCACGAAGCCGAATTTCCTCTTCTCCGCGTAGCGCTTGGCCTGCAGCTGCTGCCACTTGCGGGCTGCGGGGACACAGAGGCGGCAGCTCAGGCCCTGTCCCCCGCGGAGGCTCTGGGCCGCCGGGGCCGTACCCACCTTTCTCCTGCAGCTTTTCCTCGGACATGTAGTCGGGCAGCGGCGCCAGCGGGTTGGGCACCGGGGCGCAGCCGCCGCGGTACGGGAACACGGCGGCCATGGCGACGCAACTGCGCAGAGGGTGGAGAGGGGCTCAGTGCGAGGTACGGGACCACGACGGGGCCGCCGCCGGTCGCTCCCCCGCCGCTCCCGCGCACCCCGGGCCCGCCGCTCCCGCTGCCCTCACCGGCAGCCGCGACCCCCGCGATCCCCCACCACAATGGCGACCCCGCGCCGCCGCCACCGCGCCTGCGAGACCCGGATGTGGGCGGGACTCGCGGCGCGGAACAGCCAGTCAGCTTTTAGGAGATCTGACAGACAGCAGGTTTATCCTATCAGAGCGCGGAGCGGCGGGGGAGGCACTGAGGGCGGAAGAGGGGAGCAAGCGGTGTCTGGCGCACATTTCCGTTGTGATGTCCCGCTTTCCCCGGTCCCGCCCTTCGCTGCTTCCGATTGGCGGAGACAGCGCGGCAGCGCCTCTGATTGGACAGCGCCTGGAGTAGCTCACTCCGCGCTGCTTTAGGGGGCGCCCCTGGCCAGGTCGTGCCCCCCCCCCGCCAGTGATGGTAGGGGCGGGGGGCGCCCTCAGGGCGACATTTTGGACATTTCGGACACATCCCGGTGATGTCCGCGGTGGAGCTGCGTGGGGACATCCCCCACGGGGCCTGGACATCCCCTCAGTTCGGCTGAGCCCGTCTCAGTCACCCCCCCGTGCCCCAGGCAGGCAGGGGGATGCCGCTCCCCAGTGATGCACTGCCCCCATGGCCACACCATGGCCCCAGCAAGCAGCCACCCACTCGTTGTCCCCTTCCTGCCTCTCCACAGGAACACAGATAGCCCCCAACCCTCAGTGTTTGCCCAGCAGCTCACTGTGGGTGGGTTCAATGTGTTCTCAGGGCCCCTCAGCAGCCGGGCGAGCTCTTGCCGCAGGGTTTTGCCAGGGTGGAAGCTCCCATGGGGAGAGGGGTTTGTTCGGGGGGTGATTGGGTGGCAAGCCGGGGTGTTACTCCCCAGCAATTAATTCCCTGATGGAGATGCTCCTTCTAACCCCGTGGTGGTGGAATTCCCACCCCTATACGGTGGGAACAGAGCGGTGAAACCTTCCCAAAACCTTTCAAAGCGAAGCTCTGGCACTTCCCATCGGGAGGGGCAGGCACAGGGCATCCCCACGTCCGACCTGGGTGACCTGCAAAGCCGCTGCTTTTTCCCCCTTAGCCCTGTGGGAAAACCACGGCGGATTAAGAGGCGCCCAAACCAGGCTGCCCTGGCCCCCAGCCCCACATCCATGTGACGGCAGGAATGTGGGAACACAATCCAGGCCTTGAGAAGCCTCCCGACTGTGGGCTGGAGAGCAGAGGCAGCGTTGTTAGCTGTGCAGCAGCTCCTGGAAAATTCGGAATACGTGGGTCAAAGCAAAGAGAAAGCCTTGGGTGACAGTTTTGCTCCAGCTGGGAGCTGTGAGGGGCACACAGGTGCCTCAGCACTGCTTGAGGTGACGTACCCAAACCTGGAGTAATTGTGCCCAGCACCTGGAAGCTTCCCTGCCCTCCACAAATAGAAACGTAAGCGGCTTTAGCCTCCAGCCTCACACTGCCCATGGATCCCTCATCTTTCCCTGTCTCTGTCCTCAAAACATGTGCCACCCTCTCCGAGCAGTGCCTTGCTCCAGCCTGTCCCCAGGGTCTTCAAACCAAGGGAGAGATTTTGTGTTAAAGCTTATCCGCCACACAAAAGAAAAGGTGACTGAGCCGGTGGATTTCTCCAGACTGCTTCACCTTAACTCCAAGTAGGATGATCCTGTTATATACACAGTGCTGGGCTGCTGGGGAACAGTCCAGTGTGAGAATCAGTGAGGAAATGTGGAGTGGAAGAATGTTTAAAAACCTTCATTTTCCTCCACAGAAAGGAGAGGGGTGGGGAAAAAACCCAACAAGAGAGGTAGAGTGTGCCAGTGTACAGTGTATTTTCACTCCATGGCAGGGAGACTGGGGGTAAGGACTGGGCTAAGCAGTGACACCCCCAGATTGGGCTGGGATGATGAGTCCTCGTGTCCCCTCTCAGTCCTTTCCCCTCAAGCCACTTCATTTGCAGCCATTTATTAAAAGCTCATGTTAGTAAGAGCCTTTGCTGTCAAGTGAGAGCATTACCCCGGGCTCTGCAGCACAACTTGGCACTCCTAACAGATGCCTGAATCTTAAAAAGTGCCTGAAAACCCCTCATGTGTGAGAAGTGACCATCACACAGCATCCTCCCACCAGCCACTCATGCTCTCCCACGCTCATTTATGGGCACTTGAATTATCTGGGGACAAAACAAGATGGAAAAGCTCCAGTTGCCAGGAGAGGTTGGGGCTGCCCCCACAGTGGGCAGCTGCCACCCAGCCAGGTCTCAGCCTGGGAAATCTCCTCAGGGAGGGCTCATCAGTGCAAGGTTTGTTTTTTACTGACCATCACCTCGAAGGCAAAGCCTTGGAACCTGTCTTGCTGGTGGTGTTCCCACAGGAGATGGCACGGAGAACTCAGTGTCCCGTGGCTGATGGGACACGGCAGCACCAAAGGGGTTGGAAACACTCGGTGGTGTTGGGATGTCTGGAAGAGCAGTGGGGAAACAGTGCTGCTCTGCCCCCGTCTCATCTCAGTGGTGCCTCAGGGAGCTGTGAGAGCTGTCGAGGCTTCTCTCAGCAGCTCCCGCTTGTCCAACCACATCATCCAAAAGCGTCTGGGGAGCAGAGCCACCGTGCCTGGTCCACGAGCACCTCCTCTGCTGTGCAGGGCCCAGGCTCTTGAGCCACAAGCAAAGCCTGGATGCTCTGTTAGTGCAGCCCCTCCCTGCGAGGTACCAAAACATTCACCCTCCACGTGCTTCCACAGGCTTGGAAGTGCCCCTTCTCAGGGGAGGGACTATTCCTCCTTCTCCCTCCTGGATTTGAGGAAGTCACTCCGCAGCAGGCGGTAGAAGAGGATGACGTTCATGGGCGTCATGATTGCCATGCCCACCGTGCCCACGGCGTAGGTGGCCGGGGGCACGTTCTGCCGGTTGAGGAAGAGCCAGCGGCTCATCCAGGCCAGCGTGGCGATGCGGAACACCACGTAGGTGCCCAGGTTGATGAGGCTGTTGAGGCGGTAGCAGGTGGTGTGCACCAGGTTGGCCATGAGCATGATCTGCCGCAGGTGGAGGAAGATGGAGTTGATCTCCACCAGTAAAGCCACGAGGGCAAAGCCGACGTACTGGTGGAGCAGCACGGCAATCCCAAAGCAGATGATCACCTGGGAAGGAGGGAGAAGAGAGGCTGAGCCCAGGGGCTGGTTGCTCTCAGCTGCTGCAAGCTGGAACCCTCCACACTAGGGCACAGCAAGGAGCTGAGGTGGAAAGGATCATCAAACCACGGGCCACCCCTGCAGCATTGCAGCCTCTGGCACTTCCCTCACCGTTGCATGAAACCTGAGTGGGGTTTTTTTGTTGCAGTGAGAAGAGAAGGAAGCAGCTCTTTAAGCCCCAGGCTGGCTGAGGAGACAAAGCAGCCTGACCTAACCCTGCTGTTGTGGCCTGGAGAACGTTGTTGTGGCTCAGCAGGTTTTTCCACACACAGTGAACGGACAGGAAGGGAGACTGTAGCCCAGGGCTACGCCACTGCTGGCTCAGGGATTGTCCCCAGGACAGGCACCCTGCAGGGATTAGGTGGCTTTGGTGTATCAGAGAGCCCCCTGAAGCACCCTGGGGCTGTTTGGGACAGGATTCCTGCCCCGCACCCTCCCTGCCAGGCAGGGGGACAGGCTGGCCTGCCCACGCTTCAGCACACTCAGTCCTTTCTTTGGTTTATGCCATTAGTGCTGTTCTCTGTATGGGCTCTGTAATGAGATTATCGGCTCGTTAAATCACTGTCTTGGCTTGAATTAGCTCCATTGTGGAGGTGAACTTTTGGCTCACCAGCAGCAGCCAGCAGAGCCCCAGGGCTCACTGACAGAGAGGCTTGACTACCCAATCTCATCTCAGGTGAGTGCCAGCACTGTCCCTGTCCCCATCCCCAGGCCCTGCACACCCCTGAGCCTCCCCTGAACCCTGCAGCATCTCCACAGCTCAGCTCCAGGCCGTGCCACCCCCCTGCCCTGCAGCATCCACAGTCTCAGCACCACAGAATTGCTTCAGTTGGGAAAAACACTCTGGCACCTGGACAGCAGAGGTGACCAGAGAGAAACCCACACAGGGCACAGCAAGACAGGCAGAGGGCACTGAAGTGGGGCTCCTGCAGCACAGCTGCTCCAGCCACAGCAGCCCCAGGTGGGAGGAAAGCACCCTGGGCAGGGGAGGTGGATGAAGGGGTGTGCAGCCCTTGCTGGCAGGTGCTCAAGAGGGCAAAAGCCATAGGAGGTGAGCTGCTCACCTTTGCCAGAGGGGACAGCGGGGTCACTGCTGTCAGTGACACTGTTGTGGATCAGCCCACACTCTGTACACATGTTTTTTTCCTACTCTATTGGGACACACGAGACAGGCAATGGACTTTGGACATGATTAGCATAAGATATTTGATAATCGGAATGCCTTGGCAAGAACAAACAGAGCTGAAAATTAAATCAAACTGAAAATTACATCAAGTTCTGTAAGCAAGAAATGTAAAATGAGTACGTTTGTTTATGTGATGATTAACCCAATCACTGTAGTAAAAAATTACTAGCCTTCCTAGAATTGTGTATAAGCATATGTAGTCCACAATCAATTCAGATTCTGATCAGCTCTCAGTCTCCCCATCTCTCTCATCATTGCCAATACCACCCAATTTTTGGGTGCCTTTCTACAGACCCTCTAAGAGTACAGAGTCCTGCAGGACAAAGAGGAGCTCCAGGCCCTGCTGTCTGGGCTCCTCACCCCAGGAAATAAAACCAGACTTTGGAGCAGGCAGCAAATACCCACACAAACAACAGCAGGAGCCCACTCGTGCCCCCCATCCCCAGCCTCCCTGGTGGCACCTGTGCTGGTGCACTCACCACAGAGTGATGAAAGAGCAGCTCCCAGGACTGATGAAGTTTCTGATTGCACAACATGTCCACAAAGTCTTCAATGAAATAGCCTGGGATTGGGGAGTCCATGAACAAAAAGGGGGTCAGGAAGGGCTGTGCCAGCGAATCCCCCCTCTGCAGCCCCCCGGGAAGTGCTGGTTACATCTGTGTGGGTGAGGAGGCACACACAGCAAAAGGAGGAAATCGGTGTGCTCGCAACCACTCTGTAGGATGTGCTCCCAGGAAGAGGCACCAGCTAACACCACCACCAACCCCATGTGGCACTTTAGGGACGGCCCGAGTGGCTCCCCCCGAGGCCGTGGAGGGCAGCCCGGTGCCCAGTACCTCCTGGCTGCGGCTGCCGTGGGACAGAAAGGAGCCACTGTCCTTTGCCAAGAATAGGGCGATTGTTTGAGGTGCCTGAGACATCGCGACACGGCTCGAGGGGCTGGTGGCAGGCACCGACGAGCCCGTGAAGACCCCCCCAGGGGACAGAACAGGGGACAGTCCATCGCCACACCTCACCTACAGACACGGCCACCAGGCTGTGCGCCCCGGGCGGGTGTGTGCCCACCAGGTCGTCGGACATCTCGGGGTGGAGGTAGAACCTGCAGGGAGAGAGGTTCGGAGTGTCGGGCAGTGCCTCCGCTTCCCCATTTCCCTGCCGGTGCCCTCAGTACCCACCTGGTGCTGCCGACCCTCCCCGGAGACCTCCAATTACCCTGCTCCACCCACAGCCACCCCTCTCCTCCTGTTTTCCCTGGAGTCTCCGCATCCCCTGGTGCCCCCCTGTCCCTCGGACCTTCCTCCCTCTCTCAGCGCCCCTCAGTCTCCACGTCCTCACACTCCCCAGCACCCCCATTTCCCTTAGTGCCCCCTTGGCCGCAGGTTCCCGTCGGGCTCCCCGGACGTCCCCGCTCCCTCCCGGTGGCCCGGTGGCCCGGGCAGCCCCGCGGTGCCGCTCACCCGGCCAGCGCCCCGCTTCCGCTGAGCACGCTGTGCGCCAGCGATGTCCAGATGTTGCGCCACTTCCAGCGGTTGCGCCGGGCCGAGGGCGGCGGCGGCACGAGCCGCTCCAGCCCCCGGTTCAGCAGGCGGAAAGCGGCGAAGGAACCGGCCACCACCAACAGCCCCGGGCTGAAAGCCATGGGCACCCACCGGCCCGCCGGGCTCCCATGGGACCGGCCTCGCTGCCCGCCGGGCTCCGCCTCGCCCAGCCCGCCCCGGGCACCGGCACCGCCCTGCCCGGCCGCCGTGCGCATCGGCCGGGCGGGGGCACGGCGAGCATCAGCCCCGAGGGGAAGGGCTGGGGACCGCCCCGGGGCGGGCGCTGGAGGCTCCCGCATCCACCCGCGGCAGCGCTTCCCGTCGGGAGCGGGAGAACGGGGATGGAGCCCCCGGGCATGTAGCCGCCTTCCCCGGCAGGGCACGGAGCGGAGAACGCGTGTCCCGTCGCTGTGCGGGAATTGGGGACGCTTCATTCGTTCCCCGGAGCTTCCTCCTCCACCTCCGTGGCACCGGGTGGCCGAACGCTCTCCCATCAGGGGCTGCGGCCGGTGGTCCTTCAGCCCAAAATATCCCCGGCTTTGATGCCCGTCGTTGTTTCCTTGGGCAGGAGCTCTCCAAGCCGCCGCTCACGCCGGGTCGGGAACTCCCGCAGACCACACCACCGGCTGATCGTACATCAAACACGGAAAAAGACCTGATTGCCTTCCCTAAAGACGCTCTGCCCACAGCAGTTATCCCTCATTCCCCTGTCCCATGTCTGGTCCCCAGAAGAGCTCCCCGATGTCTGGGATACCCCAGCTCTGCTGCCTGCAGGTTGTGGAAATTCACAATCCCGTAGCCACAATTTTAGTTCTACCCTACAACTACGCTGATTTTCCAGCTTCCTTCCCGTAATTTGATCGCTCCCTTGTTGCTTTTTGATGTCTCCAGCAGAAGCGGCTGCACAGCCCTGGCTTCCCCTTCTGCCGCTGCCTGAGTCACCGTGTACACACCGATTAATGTCAAATTCCACCTCTCCTTTGAGGTATTAATTTTGGATGAAATCTTCCTCTTCACTGAAACAGAAGCGTGTGGAGCTTGAGCTCTTAGTTGCTGCCCTGGCATTGGGGTGACGGACACAAAAACATCAAATCTACACTGATGAAGGGAGGCTGAGTGATTAAATCTAATTGAGATACAGGTGAGGGTCTTTTCCAACCTAAACCATTCTGCATTTCTATGATAGTCCCAACTGGAAGAAAAGCATCTGTTCATGCTGAACAAATTTGCTTAAAAGCCAGGCGAGACAATGTACTTTCATAACAGTTACGTGGCAGGGAGACAGTGCCTGAAGTAATAGGCAGCCCTGAGTGCTCAGGGGATTTAAAATAATCTCGTGTATTAGGAGTGGAAGGATCACACAGGCTAATCTGTTACTGAGAAGACCAAATGCAAAGACATTTTTGTTCAGCATAAGATGTGCTGAGGAAAGAGAGACATGCCTTGGAGACGTGCTGGGCTGCTCAGGGCACTGAGGAGAAAAATCATTTCACAATTAATTGAGTATAAAATTGCACAGAGCCGGTTTCCGAATGAGAAGTCATCTGTGGTGGCTTAGCCTCAAAAATTCTTGACTGCCCTTTTTCCCTGGTGACAAATCATGCCTTCACCTTCCTGCAGGGAAAATCCCAGACCGTGGCATGCCTGCAGGTCCAGCCCCTTTTCCCCAGGGACTCCTCCATTTGTGTTTATCCCAAAGATGAACATTGAGCTGGGCACCAGAATAGTTAAAATGTTTTTGGAGGCTGGAGAGCTTTCACCTACCACTTCTGCATGGGAGGAATTTAACCCGTGATTAATTGAGCCTCTGGTTCAAGGACTTTGATCCCATCGCTAGAGCACTACCAACAGTTACATATAAACTACTTTTTAGGTCATTTTAGCCCCGATTTTATTTAATTTTACCAGGACTTCCCACTGACAGATAGTTTCTTACAACCCCAATCCCAGCCTTTTCCTTCCTCTGCAGCAATGCCATTAACCGGGGCGGTTTTGGAACCGGAGACTTCCAAGCCCAGTTACAAACAAGTCCCCTGCCACCAAATCAGGCCAAAAATTCAACCACACGCCACAGGCTCGGGGGGCCAGGCTTGTCCCAAAAGAAGCCGAACGAGGAGCAGGGACGGGAATTGTCGGGCTCAGCTGCCACAAGAGGTCCCCGCACGCCCGCTGGAGAACCGGAGCCCGATCCGATGGGATTCCTCATCCCCACCTTATTTGGAGATACTGCCTTTTTCACCCAGATTTCCAGAAGTTTTCCGGCTGTCCCCAAACGACCTCATTTTCTGCGGGGATGCAGCTCAGCCTGGTGCCGGCTGGCTGCTCCCAGCAGGGCAGGGGAGTCCTTGCAGGTAGCAGCAAGGACGAGCCCAGGTCCATCCCATAATGCCACAGGCACCACAGGTAATCCCATCGCGGGGGCTTTCCGGCAGCAATCGGGGTGTAAATCGAGGGTACAGAATTTTATCCCATATCTAGACAATCGTTTTTGTCTCCCTTTCCCAGGCTGGAGTTTCTCTGCAGTAGATCTGAGAGATAGAACCCATTTTCCATAATTAAAAGCTGGCAGTTTAGTGATAATCCACCACAGGAACTCTGCCAGCCCCCACCCCCAGATGCTCCCCAACTCCTCCTGAGTGGGGTTTTGGGTGTGCTTTTGCACTTCCACCATCCCTTACTTAAGGAGGAGCCCGCTCTGCTCCCAGATTCCACGGAGGACTCGCTGGAGCCAGCAGATGTGGGAGCCAGGCACAAGTCATGCTCCTGTTTTTGCAAAGCTTCCCTCCCTTAATCTTCCTCGCTGCATCCAGGGAGTCATAAAACCCGTCTGCTTACCTAATGCCAGACCTGGCTCACACCTGAAGTAATCTGAGGAGTCCAAGAGCTCAAAACAAATCAAGCAGTTTGCCTTCCAAACTTTAATTAGCTGTTCTCTCCATCCCTCTCTAAACTGTGTCACCACTCTGTCTGCTTAGGCCATAAGAAGTCAGATGATGCAGGAATGCTTTATATATCCACATCTCCATTCAGGAAGTCTGGAACTCCACATTTCTGAAAGGATCTACTGTGCAAAATGCGGGTTCTGCATGGCAAAGCATTCCCATGCATTGCAGAGGCAGCTGTGGAGAGAGCTGAAATCAATTCAAACTTGAGCATCCACCCCTTCCAGCCAGGAACACCTTCGGATATTCTCCAGGTAGAACTTGCTGTGGACACAGGAGAAAGGGATTTCAGTCTCTGTGAGTGTGATGAGCAGCTCCAGAGTTTAAGGCAAGAAATGCCCAAAATGCCAAAAGCCAGCACTTCACCACTGACCTCAGGACCTGAACTCATGTGGCAGAGGAAATCACCTGTGCTGCACCACAGCCTGCCCATTCACCCTGCCCAGCCCTGCACGCTCTCACTGCTGAGGGAAGGCCTTTCCTTGCACTCCACGGGGTCTGACCAGCACTGCAGGTGTTCTGCTGCCCAGGCTGCTCATCCTCCCTGAGATCATTCCTGGAATGCAATGTCAGCTTCACAGAACCAGCATGTTCTGGTGCCAGGCACCAGCTGCAGACTGGGCACAGCAGCTGCCTACTGCAGCCTGGCGGGTGGGAATGTTCCCAAACCACCCAGGCACAGCCTGCTTTGATAAAACACCCCGGGGCAGGTTGATCTGGATGCTTTTCTGGCCTTCCTTTTTCCCAGCATTGGATGGATATTTTGTTTTTCCTCAGGACTTGGCACAAGGGACTTGTTGGAGAAATGTGTTGACAGCAGAGTGTCCCTAAGGATGCTGCAGGCTCAGCTGTTCCTCCAGGGCTTTTGCTGGACCAGTGGCACAGAGGATGTGCTCCCTCCTCACTCCAGCCGTACAGGTATGCCATGGGATGAACCAAATTCCTTTGGCTGGCAAAACTCCTTCAAGCTCAGCAGCATGGGCAGCTCTCCTCTGCTTTCTGCAGCTGCCATGCCCCAAATGTTTTGACTTTCTGAACTGTTTATGTGCTGATATTCGTAAGGTTTCAGGTTCCCTCTTTCCTTTCCCAGTGCTCACTGTGAAGTGGTGCCAGGTGCCTGCCAGGCCTGCATCCCATCTCTCATCATCACCAGACATGAATGCTTAGGAAGAAAATGTGAAACACCATATATAATTATTCTTCCCCTGTAAGCAAATTCATTCCCGCTAAATATTTTCTTTTCCCTGTCTTCTTCCCTGGTGGGATAAACATTTTTTCCCCTGCTTAATTCACCAGTCTCAAGCTTAAGTAATTTTTGATGAATATGTATGTGCTTCATGATTACATCATGATGCATTTACGACTACATGAGGGTTTTTTTGCATTTCAGACAGGTTAAAAATGAGTCTTCCAAGGTGGAAGCACATCCCAACCCCCACACCCAGCTCAGCATCACAGCCTCTGAGCCCACTCAATTCCTCCTGTTTTACAAATACCAGCACAGGAGCTTCCCCCCTGCATCTCCTCCTGCTGCTGGCTCCACAGCTTGGAACAGGTTGGGTTCCCTCCTGAATTCTCTCGTTATTAATATCACAAACCAAGCTGTTCTGAGAGCAGTGCCCCATTAATCACTTCAGCTCTGCTGCAGGTTTCACCTCGCTTCCTCTTCCTGCAGCTGAGCAGTTTGACTCCGTGGGTGCTGCTTGTTAAAATCACTGGGTCTGGTAGAGCAGGGAAGGGCCCTGAGCTGGGAAAAAGGTGGGAAAAAGATGAATCCACGCAACCATGGCACGAAAAAATGTGCTACTCCAGCTGATGGCGGTGGGAACTTGAAGGCAGGAAGGTTACACGCCTTACATCCTTGCCTTGGCTTTTCTGGAGGGCCAGCAGCTCTGGGGAGGCACGGCAGAAGTGAAGGTGTCTAAGAAAACCCAAGGTCAGCTCAGCAGCTCGTGTGAGTCAGCAGCAGCGTGGGTGGCAGATCGGTTCAGAGATGTCTGATGCCCACCTGCGCTCTCTTTGTGGTTGAGGGCACCACTTCCTTTTCCTCTCTTCCTTCCTATGGTTCATCCTGACTTGTGCTACAAGAAAAGCTCTAAAACCCTCTGAGTAACCATCTCTGGTTTACCTAAAAAAAGGGCCAAAAGATGTTTACAGAGCATCTTCCTGAAAATCTGCCTCCAATCCCATG